ATTTGTTTTTGCTTTCTATTAACAATTTTAATTATAAATTAATAAATTAAATATATTTTTATTTAAATTAAAAAAATATATATATTTACTTTTACGTGTCATGGTAATTGATTTACATTTAATTTCTCCATTATCACGGCATGAAATAGATACATCAAACTTAGTATGTATTTGTATTTGATTAATAGTTATTTCATCTAACTTTTTTCCTCTAAAATTGTTGATTAATATTTAATATTCATATATTGTAACTGCTATATAACACAATTATTTAATAAACTTTAAAAAAACATAAATACCGGTTAATTGCTAAAAGTAATTTTAGTTGTTTTCCAGATCGATTTGCATATGCATGAGCAGCTTCAGCTGCATTTGTATTATTTCTAGCGAGGATCCAAGTAGTATAATTAATTTTTGAACAATTATAATTTAGTAAAGCAATAATATAAGATGTACGATAGTAATTCACCTATTCTAAAATAAATTGATATAAATTAATAGATTTAATAAATAAAAAATTTATTATTTAATAAAATACCTTGTATATTATTTTCATTCAAATCTAACAATTGATTAAAAACATTATTTACGGATTCTTCACTATCACAGTTAGGAATTGAATACATTAAGTCTTTTGTATACTCTGTAAAGTTTTTATTTCGAATATTTCTACAAATAAATTAAGTTTAATAAATTTATAAATTAAATAATTTAATAAATTAAAGTTTAAATTATTTTACCGATTGTAATGAATTAAGCATGACTTAAACATATACAAAAGATGTATATCCCAACTTTTTGAAGAATCAATTTCTTCAATAGCCATACCCAAACCTTTTAATTGGGCAATATTTAAATTGGCTACAATACATTCCCAACCCTCATTATGAATATGATAAAATTTAATATTTTCACCCGTAATTTTTTTAATTACTTGAAATAAAGTTTGAAATAATCGCTTATATCCTTTAGCCGTGAATATATTAATAAAAATACGACAATAAGACATTACTACAATATAAATTAAATATTTAAATTAATTATTTAAATTAAATAATAATTTATAATTTGAATTTATACTTAATATAATTTATGATCTTTATTGTAAGAATTACACTCAAATTCATTGATTGATTCTTTAACCCGTTTATAGCTTACATCAATTTAAAAAAAAGTTAAATTTTGTAATGTATAAGCCAATTCTGGCAATATACAAATAATTATTATTTGACCGTCATTAAAAAATTCTAAAAAAAATAAATTTAATATTAATTAATAATTATAATTATAATAATAACAATAAATATATAATTATATACCAATTTTTTGGACATATTTATTTAAATCATTTATTTTTTGCATTGTATGATACCATACACCCATAACACTTTGTCCATATGGATATATTTTTTTATATGCTTTATTTACTAAATATATTAATCGATCAATATTATTAAGTGAAGTATAAATTTGACCAAGTATTTCAGTATTAAATAATGCTTTAATGAAATTTTCTTTAAATAAAATTAATATTATTTAATTAATTATATATATATAATTAAAAATTTAATATACTTAAAATAAGTATTACCTGTAATAAATGAATGTGAAGTTAAAGCTTTATTATCATTAATAGCCTGTTTAATTAAAGCTTGCAATGTACTTTTAATATTTGCTAGTATTTTTTCTGGTGGTGGTGGAGGATGGTTATGAACACCAATACAAATAAGTGCAACAAAAGGACAAATTAAAATATCTAAAGGAATTATTTTAATAAAGTGCACTAAGCATGATTTTTCAATTATATTTCCTCTAGTAACTCATCCATCTTTAATATGAGGAAATTCTACAAATTATTAAAATTAATTTTTAATTATTATAAATAATAATTTAAAATTTTAATTAATATTATTAAAAAAACTTTACCATATTGTTTCCTTTTACAACTTCATGAAACAATTGAAGTACAAATTGAGTGATCCTTTTCTTCAATTAATTTGCCTCCAAACAACTTTTTTAGTAAAGGCAAATCAATTTCATTTATATTAAGTTTAATAAATCGATGCCATTTATCATTTTGCTTATATTTCGTACATCTAATAAAATAAAATGTAGTATTTGTTAAGTAGTTAATAATTTTTCCAAGTTTTGCAGATCCAGAGCAAAGAATGCCATTACGTTGAAACTTGTATTGAGATTCACTTGCAGCTAAATATATTCTTAATAAATAATTAAATTAATTTTATATTAAATATTTAAATTAATAAATAATTAAAATAAAAATAAATTACGTGTAAGTTTTTGTTTTTTTGTTATTTGCTTCCTGATCTATAGTCATCTTACAATAAAAATCTAAATCAATATCAACACTACTATGAACTACATTAAGATAGGTAGGATCACTAAATTCACAATATTTGATGCCTTGACATCTTCGCTCATCTTTTTTAACTGAAATATTTCTGAAAAAGGGACAATTCTAAATAATAGAAGCACCACCATGGCCATTAATTGAATATTGAATCTAGATAATATGTAATAAAATTAAAATTATTACTATATGTAATGTATTATATAAATTAAATATTTAAAATTTTTTTTACATTGTTAAATGCATCCATATAGTTATCTCAACCATTAATATTAAAGATAGTTGCAACACCATCTTCAGATATTACAGGATATTCTACAGGTAACACACTATGAATAATTTGATTTGCGCATAATTTCCTTGTAAAAAATACTACTTCTTCTAAATCTTCATTTGAATTGCTCTAAAATAAATATACTATAAGCTAACATATATTTGGCAATATTTAATTTAGTATTTGATTTATGAAATTAATAACATTACAGTGTTCAAATTCAAATCTTTATTAAACCATGCATCGCTATATTCGTCGATATCCAAATCAAAAAACTCTTCAGTAACACCAGTTTTTAAATTATAATTTCTTTCAACGCTCAAATCCAAATCTGATTCCATTAACAAAGTTTTATTTAAAAAAAGTAATACAGAGAAAAAAATCAAATAATTATCAATATATAGATATATATACAAACTATATTTTATGCATCATTGATTAATCATTGCAAAGAGAAAACTATATTTCGGGTTGTCAAGAGAAAATTATGTTTTGGATTCTTAAACTTACAATTTATTATACAAAAATTCCCAGATTAAATAAACTTAGTCTGATAAATTATAAATTTAAAGTTTGCCCAAAATGCAATTTTTTTATCAGCAGCGCTCATAATAATTTATTATGCATCATATATACGTACATGTTTCGTCAATTATATTTAGTAATTACTTAATGTTTTTATATATACGTACTTCATACACTATACAATACATATTTACTATATTCTCCACCTTGTGTATATTCATAAAGTATATTACTGCACTAGGTGACCTTGTTACTTTGCTATAACAACACCAAGAAGGCTATAGCATTGTATTTCTTAGTGAAAAGCTAAAACATTTAACCAGAAATCCAAACCCTACCCCAACCCCTTCTTAAATATAAACCACCTTTCTTTGATTGAGTTTCTAGCCAACAAGTATAAAATCATAGCAGATTTTATTAGGCCTCCTCTAGGAATTATCTCTCTTGGATTGTCTCTATTGAATTCCAACTAGTGTTTAAAATCTATATGTGGAATCTGCGGTATACAGATTGAAAATTAATTCTGCAAGTAAATTTTCCTTTGAATCTGCAGATTTTATTATGTATCATAAAGCTCACACATCTTTTTTAAAAATTTTTATTATGTTTACAGGAATTATCAAGCTTTTCGCATATTGAAACAAAATCTAATTTTAAACACTAATTCCAACTTTTCTTTGAAATTATTGCAGGATTGGCTATTGAAAAAAGCAATATTGAAATTAAATTATTAAAGGTATAAAACTACTAACTTTATTATAAAACTTGGAGAGTTTATGCTTTTTTTTTTATTTATTTATTACTTCGGCAAGTCTAGATGTAACTTGGTCCAGCTATATTAATAGTTGACCCTATGCTACTAGTGTCACAGGACCTCCATAATTCCCATACGGGTATCATGTGTATCCACCTGGGATCCATTGCCCGCCATTTCTCCGGCTTCCTCATTGGGGCCTAGATCCAACCGCCTGCACGACACTCTGGAGAGGTCGAAACACCTTAATATTGAGCCGAAATTTCACCAGCCAATCTGGTGGCGCCACGAGTTCTTGTAGTATCTTCTTAGACTTCGGCCTCACAGTACGTCTCATGACTTCGGTTATTCCAAATCAGGGTTCTAACATGCCTCGCTTCATAGCCACAACTTCTCAGAATAACTATTCACCAAATACGTCTATCTGTAGATGTCTCGAGTTCCCTGTACCCCACGGTGTTTCACTTCCATATTTGGGTTTTCATTATTTTGCCACTGGGAGGAATTGAACCGGCAACCATCCAATTTGCAACCTGGGAGCATAACCACTATACTATCAACCCACAGGTCAGAGTTTATACTTTACCTCTTGCAAGTAGCTAGTAAATTATTATTGATTGTTAAATTAAATTGCATTTAAAATTTGTTATTTTGTTCTGGGTTACTAGATTGTAACAGTAATTAAATGAGGTACTTAACTCCTGTCCGAAAGATCTAGACCTCTATATCACCAAACCAATAGGGAGTACTATAGAAGGATCAGTAGCCTAATTTGGTGGTGTACGATGCGAATACCTAGATCAATGTGAAATATCATTCTAGTTTAGCAATTTAACTGTTTGAGATATGGCTAGGCCCATAAAGTAACTCCTCTAGAGACACCAAACTGAAAGCATCAAGAGCATTCACTTGAGAGACACCAATTTGGAAGTAGTACAAGAAATGAATTAAAAGTAATATGATAAGTACTGAGGGGTAGAAGTTGGCTAGTAGACATTGTACAGTAGTATATAAGTGGATATATATAATAATATAGGTTTGGGAACTATTCAGTGATTTAGTAATTGGTCTGGTCAAAGGGGTGATTACTAAGGAGGTAAAATCTTATATAGCAAATCGTACATAGGTATTAATTTAGTAACTGGGTGAGCCTTATCTGTAATAAATTAGATAGTTGTAAATGTATATATATGTTTGTAATCACAATACCTTAGAGCAGTGCTGGAAATTGGACATGTTCAATTAAATTTTTTAATTGTACAGTTTTGAATATGTTCAAAACTGTCCAAAACTATTTAAAATTTTTTAAATTTTTTTAACTTTGATCAAAGATATCTCAGTATCCACCTAATCAAATTTGATTTACTTTTTTTCTTTGAATTATACAGCCTTTTATAATTAAAATAAAAAAAAGTTGATCAAATTTGGTCAGATGGGTGCTGTGATATCTTTGATCAAAGTTTGTAAACAATTTTTGTCACAGTTTATATTTGATAAACATTTAGAATTTTATAAACCAAAATTTTGATCTAAGATAACTCAGCATCTACATGCCCAAATTTATTTAACTTTTTTTTATTTTAATTATAGAAAGCTACAAAATTTAAAAAAAAAATTGACAACTCTTTCCAACGATCACTTGAACCAAATTTTGCCGAAAAAACTTTTCAACAAAAACAGTAGAAACTAATTAGCCAAACTACATAAAATGTAAAAAGAGGAACAGTAAGTCAGCACCTGTCGTTTAGAGGTAGTTCTCATATGCTACCTGCCGACAGGCTTAGAGTTTATCACTCACTGCAAACCTGGCATTTGTCATTTAGAGATAGTTCTCATACGCTATCTGCCGACAAGTTCAGAGTTTATTACTCACCAACAAAATATGAGTAGCACAGTTTTGGCTGGAAGGAAGACTATTTCTAGTAACTTACTTTCCTTTAAGTGGTATCAAGAGGTCCTTCTCTTGTCATCGTTTTGTGCCAGTTCTACCAAAATTTTTCTACAAAAGTGGGCATTTTGGCTTACCTCCTCCAAAAGATCAGTATTGTTTACATCTACCAAATCGGGATGAACTCAGTAGAAGGCAACCACGTGTTTTGTTGTTTTGCGAATACGGTGCTACAGTATGGGGAAAAGATCATCACCCCCGTTTAGGAGATACCCGAGTTAAGTCAGTGCTCGGAACGAGTCTCAAAGCTAAACCGTCAGTTTACAATTAAGATATAGTAATTAGTTGCAATTATTATATAATTTTTATTCTTATGCCTGGCACGGGCTATAATAGTGTATCATGGCTACCTTTCTTTTTTTTTCACTTTTTTCATCTTTGTTTATTTATGTTAGACTATTTTAGAATTTGTTGAAAAGTTTTTTTTTTCCACCATGAGGTGTTTTTTTTTCTAAAATGTTCATATCTTTCATAAATATAACTTTATTTTTTTCACTTTTATATATGAATAAAAGTTTTAATTGTTGTTGTTGAGCTTAGGTAGAAGAAGTTTGAAAGAAGAAAGAGATAGTCATAACAGGCGGCAAGGTTTACTATTGAGAGCCGGGTTATATCCAATTTCAGAAAGGGTCCAGAAGAAGAGAAATCTTGCTATAGCAGGTCGAATATAGATATTAAGTTGGTAACTAGGTTAGTCTTAACTTGTAATTTAGATAACAATTTGGGCTACGGTGCTTGTGATAGTTCTTATATGCTATTTGCTAACAAGTTAAAAGTTTATCACTTACCTTTTGAAATGCTCGGTTGTAAAATTTTATATATTTTAGATAAGTTGTACAAAGTCTAATAAAGTTAAAGCATGACTGCCGAATTATTAAAAAAAAAAAAGATTTACATATTAACTTAAATTTTTTTTTTTTTTAATCAGAGCAGTTTGTGCCTTTGTACTTTATTAGTATAATATTTTAACTATTAATACAAAGTACTACAGTAATACTAAACTATTTTATGTAAAAAGGCTTAAGAACTCAATCAAACTATCTATATCTAAGATTTACCTTCTCTAATAAATCTAAGTATCTATAATTATCAAGATGCTCCTTAACTAAACCTAGTAGAGACGATTAACAGATCACCCAGATTTTTAGGTTCATGTGTATCCACTTTACAATTCCCTTTTATGCAGTTACCAAAGTTTCTACTTGTAGTTGTAATCATGGTTCATCAAATCTATTAATTGATATCTTGGGTCTCTGGCCCATAGTATAGAATTTTGGTAGAATTTGCAGTTCTTCGAATTCCTATGATTCCTTAATCGCCTTTTGCCCTTGTTAGGTTTATACAACCTCAGTACTCATATTCGGACTTTCTTTTTCCTCAGATTCTTTATCAGTCTATTCTTTGATTCTAGCCGGCAACTCGGAAGAGTTGGTCTGCCCAGGCTTTAGATGCCTCACAGTCGCCCTCCCCTTGGTATATACTTTCAGAGCATTTGTCCTTTTTCTCTAGCATGTCTACCTGGCAGTTCGGCTAGTGTGTTCAAATTGGTCGCTCAGTTCTCTAATCTCGGGCCTCAGTTTCAAATTTGGCCTTTCTGTAGCACTATTAAAGATTGTGCTACCTCTCAACTTAGAACTTCCCAAATAGGTTTTTGGTTATGCCAGTTCCTCAGATTTATTATACCAAAGCTTCTATTACAAGATAGTGTGACCAAAGTTACAGATTATAGTTATAGATCCAACTGATAAGCATAGTTGTCAACTGAACACAAGCCTATTTTTCAAATATCATTGTCTGTGAGATTCAAACTCTAGACCTGCCACTTGGAGAGGGTAACAACTAGACCACTATATATTAACTTAAAATTAAAATTTATAATCATATATGTTGTGTCTCAGATTGATTTTTATGTTAGATCTAAACTGACACACATCAGATGCTGATTTTCAGGTGACACACATCACCTGTCAATTGGTTATCTGATATGCATGAGTTGTGATTTGAGATGTGTTAGTTGTAAACTGACACAACATTGAGATTACAAGTTTAAAATTTTTATAACTAGATATTGCACAATGAACACCACAGATTTATTTTATTTTTTTAAACTAAATATGATTGAATCATACAACAAACACTGCAATATTAAACTAATATTATCTTAATCTTAAAAGCCACCATGAAACAATAAAGAAACTAGCTATAAAATGATAAAAAAAACCCACTACTAAGTAATATGAAAGATCCAACAAAGAAACTTACTATTAAACAGAAAAAAACCTACTATTAAATGATATCATTAAATGACAAATACAAAACAATAAAAGATCACATAGAATCATGAAAAACCTACTACGGGCAACTAGAGAGCCTACTATTAAGGACAAAGAACTCACTGTGAGTGAAAATTGAAGCCCCAAATTTCTTTGACAAAAGATGAAACCTTAACCTTAAAAATGACAAAAACTCATGCTCAAAAAAATGAGACTCTAGTATTCTCTCTAAAAAAAAACAATTGTTATTTTCAAAAGCCACTATAAAACAATAAAAAAACTAGCTGTAAACTAATAAAAAAATTTACCACTAAATGATATGAAAGATCTAACAAAGAAACTCACTATTAAACAGAAAAAACACCACTGTTAAATGATATCATTAAATGACAAACAGAAATGATGAAAGATCCATGTAGAACCATGAAAAATCTACTGTAAGTGACTAGAGAGCCTGCCATTAAGAACAAAGAACTTACTATGAGTGAAAGTTGAAGCCCCAAATTCCTTTGACAAAAGACAAAACCTTAATCTTAAAAATGACAAAACCTCATGCTCAAAAAGATGAGACTCTAGTGCTCCTTTTAAAAAAAAAAAAAAACATTGTTATTTTTATTGAATTAATATTCATATTTATTTAGAGATCAGTATCCGAAGTTACATATATGCCAGCAAAAATAAACTAGTTTATTTTTTCTAGGCAATGTCAGGGTTTTATAAATCAGTTTCGAATAAAAGATCTACTATGTAACGATGAAGAAATTCACTATGAGACAAAAAGCTCACCGTAAAGCAGTACTATAAACAATGAAAAATCACTTGAAATAACAAAGAAATACAACATGAAACAACAAAAAGACTCATCTTTAAATGGCTAACGAAAGAATTCACTATGAAAAATGAAAGACTTACTATAAAATTCAAAAGCAACAACTCCAACAATGTCTCCAAAGGTGATGACTCCAATGACGATGACAACTGCTTCAAATACAACAACACCAGCAGCGATTCATGATAGCAACACTACAAAAAATTAAATATATTGTAATATAGTCACTTTGGTAGCAGTAAACTATATTACTTGACTTAGTGTTAAGAGGGTAAGAAATGTGAATAATGTAAAATAAATACTAAAAGAAACTAAAGATAAAACTAAAAGAACTAAAGTGAAAAATATATCAAGTATGTAGGTATAAACTAATAGAAATAACTAAAGAAAATATAAAGAAAATATAAAGAAACTAAAAATAAAAAGACAATAAAAAGACAATAATTCCACTTTAAAAGAAGATAACAGAATATAAAACATGTATAAAGTAAGTATTTCACAAGATAATATTAGTTTATTAGATAAAAAGAAGAAAGTACAGAAGACCAAGTCTAAGTCTAAGTCTAAGTCTCCGACCAAATCTTCCCAAGCCTTAGATAAAAAGGCTGGGTTTATATATCTTTTACAATCTTAATTAATTACTAATTATAGTTCATATTATTGTACTATTGTGTCAAAGGAACTTGTTAAAGAGACTTGTTAAAGAGACTAGTCAAAGATACTAGTCAAAGAGACTTGTCAAAAATACTAGCTAAAGAGACTAACCAAAAAGACTAACCAACAAGACTAACCAAAGAGACTAGCCAAAGAGACTAGCCAACGAGACTTAATTACTCATCAACTATTGGTTAGAATGAAAAACTATAAAAACTATACTAATAAAACTAATACTAAGGATTCTATTGGTTAAATAATATTTGTACTACATTTAGTAGTTACACATAGATAAGTAATAGAAAATTTAAAATACTAATATAATACTAATATAACAATATGATATTATTTTTTTTTAGTACAAGATTAGATTTTGAAGATTGAAGATCTGTCTGCGTTAGATTACAACTTACGTACGTCAGATAATCAATTGACAGGTAACGTGCATCACCTAGAAATCAGCATCTGACATACGTCAGTTTAGATCTGATGTAAGAATCAATCTGAGACACAACATATATAACAAATAAAGAAGAAAATTTTAAGCTTAAAAACCAAGTTAAAATTTTGCTAGTTTTGTATAATTTCAAAAAATAACTTTAAAATTAGTAAATATTTGTTTTTAATAAAGTTATTTTTTGAAATTGTACAAAACTAGCAAAATTTTAACTTGGTTTTTAAGCTCAAAATTTTCTTTTTTATTTGTTATATATTATTATAAAATTTAATTTTAATATATAAATCAAAAAACATCAAAGCTGCAAAGTTTATAGTAATTTTATATGTTTTTATTTTTATTTTTATTTTTTTCCTTTGATAACCTTGCACTAATTTATTAAAATATTTGTAATTTACAAAATTAACTATCTAACTTATGTATTAGGCCAATACCTGGCTGCTATAAGTGCCCAAGTATGGTTATCACACTAATGTTTGCTAACTGGTTCCACATGTGGTGCTATCCACATTTAAATCCCATTATAGCGTGGTACTCAGCTACCTATATATGTTTTTATTATAATTTCATATATAAAAAATTTACATGTAATATATTATGTAACTAATATCATTATGATATCTATTTTGTTGTAATACATAAATCATTATACATAATTTATTATATATATGATCATTACATATAAACTGTTATGTATAGCTAGGCTAGTAAACAGTTTAAAGATACTTTACAAAAACTTGTAAAAAGTTGTATCTGTTTTTATAATAAAAAAATAATGGTTTAAAAACATTATAAAAATGTTTTTAAAAAAAAAGTTGTTATAAAAATGTTTTTATAATATTTTTTTTTCTTTATAATAGGCTTATAACTAGTAATAAAATATAGAATGTTACAACAAACCCAAATCTAAGATTTTTAAAAGGTCTGAATATTTGAACAATATGTGTTATTGATAATATTGAATTTAAAGAAAGTATATTTAAATTTGGAATTATTTTTGATGATTCTTATACTACTTCTCATACTACATTAAAAGTAGCTTTTCAGTTTACCTTATCTATGCCAATCCAATCTTTTATTCCTGTTATTACAAATAATAGTAATAATAGTATTACAAGTAAACTATAGCTTTCTTTTAAAATATAGCACTTGCAACACAGCACATGGCGATAGGGATCTATGTAGAGTCAAAATAGATATGAAGTGGTGTAGAAGTGGAATATTACTTCACTAGGACGATTCGATATAGTTTCAGTAAAAGCAAGATATATGTTTATTAAGATATATTTATTTATAATACAATATCAAGATAATAGGCTATTCTAAGGTTCCTATGCTTAAGAATCCTTTTAACTTAAAGATTGTAGAGAACAAATTCTAAAATGCTAGGAAGGAGAAAAAGCTAGGGTTTATATAGCTTTTACAATACATATCAAAGAATATAAATAAAAAATAATAATAAATAAATAAGAAACAATAAGAAGTATTAAGAAATATAACAAAACATTAAGCATAAAGAAACATTAAGAAGCAATAAGAAACATTAAGAAACATAAAGAAACATTAAGAAACAATAAGAAATATAAAGAAATATATTAAGAGTATGGATTTACAAGACTTGTAAATCCATTCCAGTTTATCATCGATCAATTCTTTGCTTATCTTTGTTTATCAATTGCCAGTTACCTATTTATTCGTTCATCATGTATTGTAGCTCGTTTTGATCGTTAGAACCTTCTGGATCTTCTGGTGTTAAAATATTTTGTACATTTCTAGGCGTTTAACACATTCTATAACAATAGTATTGTTATTACAAATAATAGTAATATTAGTATAATTGGTAATAATATTTTATTTGGTGAATCAGATTTTGTAAAAAGTCAATATTACAAATATTTTAATATTTTTAGCCAGCTAGTAGAACTGTATTCAGACAATTTAGAAATTAAAAATATTTATAATGAACTTACAAAGGATATACCTTTGGGATATCAAGTTGATGCTTTGAATTTCATAATATTTATACCAGATAAAGAACCAAATTGTGATTTAAATATTCATAATTCATGTAAAAAATCTTCAATTATCAGAAGGTAAGTATCTAGATGTTGCAGCTAAGGCAATTTTTCACTAGCTATTATTATATCAAGAATTAAAAAAAGACAAATCAACATGATTAATTTTAGGTTAGTGGCATACATCGAAAGCTATGTATGCTACTTTAATTAAAATTTTTATAAGTATGAAATTTTTAGTTTGGTAGCAGAACTTGGTGCCAAATATTTAGATAAATTAGAAAAGGTTGTTGATTATGATGCTATATTTCATGTATTAGAATTAATTTGGATGGCTGTAGAAACTGCTTTAACAAAGCATTTAAAAAATACAAATAAAACTATAAGTGATATTGAAAAAAAATGATATTGTAAAAGTTTGGCTCTTGTATTTTTGTTGGATGAGTTATATAATTAACCACAAAATAGGAATAAAAAGAGTATATTATAACTTACAATTTCATTCACTTTTAGCATTTGCACCACTTTTTTTAGTTTGTGGTAAAAGTAATTATAAATGATCAACAACTTATTTTTTATTTCAAGTTTATAAAAATCCTCAATTACAACAATTACTTCATCAGGTATGTTCAATAAACCTAACACAACCTGGTCATTACTATGCACTTGATGAAGTACTAGAAGTCTTGGGAGTAAAATTTGTTAAACAAAACATCAAACCAAATATAATAGATAAAGAACAACTTATGTTATATATATCATCTGTTCAATCCAAAAGAGATAGAATACAAATGCTTTTATCTAAATATATAGAAGACATAATTACAATTAATAAAGATCATAATACACAGTTCTACAAAAAAGTAGTATGGAAACTTGGCAATAAATTAATAAATACATTTCAACTATCTAATCAAGAAACTCATGAACTTTTTAAAGATTCAAAAGAAATAAATAAAGTAGAGTTTTCTCTTATTGCAACATGTTATACAAAAGGTATAAAAAAATTAAATTCAATCTATAACCAAGAAATTTTAAAAACTGAAAAAAAGATATCAAAGGCCAAAGAAGTTGTAATGTAAATATTTATAAGTTGTCAAGTTTGTTGAATAGTAATAATGACAAAAAAAAAAGAAAAAAAAATATTATTATTGATAGTAATAACAATAATATTAGTAATAAAATAAACTCACCTTCTACTAAACGTGTACATAGAAAAACAAGCAACAATGCAAAAGAAATTCTTTCTCAGTTGCTTACTTATACTATTTTTTCTGATGATGATCAATTACTATGATGTTCTTCATAAATTTCAAGATATAGAATCAGATTGGACTAAGGAACATGTTGTAATATATTGGCGGAACCACCACAACAAAAATAAGTAAAATAAATAGCTAGTATATGAAACTTCTATTTAGTTGTAATACTAAAGGTTGTAATGAATTTATTATTCATACCTTATAAGATTAAGAAAATTAAATAAAAAATTTTAATAAACCAAATGGTTACCACTGTAAAAATTACAATAAACATATCTTGCTTTGTGAATTTTAATTAAATCCTCTAAAATATCAATTAATAGTGATAATTATCTTCCAAATAAGCTCTTCAAAATTTAATGATAAAGAGTTTTTTTATTAGTATATTAAAACACTATTATATATTCTTTCTGTCTGCGTACTTGAGTTAGTTCATATAATTTAAGCCTTTACTACCTACTCTACAACTAGTGTTGGCTTGACCAGACTAGTTTGACCATTGGACCAGACCAATTTGACCAATTTGACTGGTCTGGTCAAAGGATTTGTACTAGTCAAATTGGTTAAATAGTATATTTAAATATATTTTATTATATAATATATATATTATATTTATATAATCGATTTGACCAATTTGACCAGTTTGACCATTTGACCAATTTGACCAGTAAATTTTTGGTCGATCACTAATTAGCCCAACACTGTCTACAACATATATAACTTTAAAACAAATAAAAAGAATAAAATTTAGGTAAATTAGAGATACATATATTTAAGCAACATAACTTGGCATCTTTTAATAAATAATTCAAATTTTTTGTTGAACTACATAAAGTCTTAAGTGCAACTTTAACAGATCGTAAATACAGATTGTAAATACCAACCAGCTAAAAATGCAGTACTGAACCCTTTACTAATCTCTTTAATTTATCAAACGGAATCCATTCAATTGCCTTTTTATGTTTTAGCATAAGGTTGAAATAATTTAATATAGTAATTAATATTTTTATTACTACTTGTCCACTCCTGAGTTATTCTATATAAGAATTACATGAAATAGGCTACAATTTGTATATTCACTATAACTAATATTTTTTTGAAAAAAAACTTATTAATTGTACTTTGAACAATATTATATATTCATTAGTAGTTGTAAATTGTGTAATTCTGTATACTTTAGAACTCTTTCCAATGATCATCTGGACCAAAATTTTCCACTGAACAAAAACAAAAATTTTGTTGGAGAGAAGAAGACCTGCTTATGGGATGGTTTATATAAAAATTAACTTGTTACTGGAAGGGACTTCTTTATATATTTGGCATGCAAACCAGAAGCGTTAAGAAGCAAGATAACTGGCAGAAGTTGGTGCCCTTGGTTTCAAAATTCTGGAAAAAAGGTGCTTATGAGAAGTTGGGGCCTTTTTGTTGACAAAGTAATCCATAATGCAAAAGAATAGAATAGAAGGAGAACAACAAATGAGTTTTTATAACAACACTCCTTGGAAATTTAGAGACACTTTTTTAAATAATGTATATCATGGCTTGGTTCGAAAGGAGCCTTAATGTGAGATATGGGAAAATGGACCTACTATAAGCACGGCACTTGTCGTTTAGAAATAGTTCTCATATGCTATTTGCTAACAAGCTCAGAGTTTATCACTTACCAAAAAGACTTAGTACTGTGCAGGCTTGAGTAGACATTTCTTTAATGTTTTCTCTTGGTCTTTCTACCTCCCTCTTGCTTTTGCCATTTTTTACAAAATTTTTGAAAAAAAGTGGGCATTTGGGTTCACCTCCTCTAAAAGATCGGCAATGTTTACACCTTCCTAATTCAAATGTACTTAGTAGAACGCAACTACGTGTTTGTTTTGTTTATCAATATGGTGCTACAGTTTGGAGAAGAGATCAGCACTCCCAATTAGGAGATATCTGAGTTTCGTCGGTGCCTAGAACGAGTCCTCTATGATAAGACGACGTTTTACAATCGAGATATATTAATTAGTTGCAATTATTATATAATTTTTATCCTTATACCTGGCATTCTTTTTTTTCGCTTTTTTCATCTTGGTTCATTTATGTTAGACTATTTTAGAATTTGTTGAAAAGTTTTTTTTTCCCACCATGAGATGTTTTTTTTCTAAAATGTTTATGTTTCTTATAAACATAGCATTATTTTTTTCACTTTTATATATAAATAAGAGCTTTAATTTTTTTTTGAGCTTAGGTAGAAGAAGTCTGAAAGAAGGGAAAGGTGGTTATAATAGGCAGTAGGTACTATTTGTTGAGAGCTGGGTTATATCCAATTGCAGGAGAGGTCCAGAAGGAGAAGTATCCTACTATAGCAGGTTGAACATAGGTACTCATTGAGCAACCGAGTTATCTTTACTTGTAATTTGGATATAGTTGTGTAGCTCTTGGGCGTAGCACATGTCGTTTAAAGATAGTTCTCATACACTATTTGGCAACATATTCAGAGTTTATCACTTACCGATAAGTCTCTTTAAAATTTTAATAGTCTAGATGATTATTACAAAGCCTAATAAAGTAAAGGCATAACTGCCGAATTGATTAAAAAAAATAAATTACCAAATATAGTAATTTTGTTCTTAATATAGTAATTTAATAAATATTTCATAAAAAATTATAAAATTTTCAGAATATATACAATTTGTTATACTAAATAACTTTATTAAAAAAATTGCTAATTTATTTGATAAAAAATTTAGTTTATATATTACTATATTTAGTAATTTTAATTATTATAAAAACATAGTAAAATTTAGAAAATTATACTGATATAAAAATTTAAATTTTTACTTAAACTTAATTATTTTAAAAACTATTGTATAGAATTTTGTAATCTTTTTTTTATTTAAAAGATATAGTTTGAAAGAATTTATATTTTAATTTTTAGCTCTATATCTTACATATTTAGCTTTGCACAAATTCTTAAAAAGTGTTTACAATAATATAGCACCCTACTGTATAATGTAATCTATTTATCTAATAAAAATGCAAAAAAGCTTATTGCAATTTTAATTTTTATTACTATAGTTTTTGAAATAGTTGAAAAATTGCAAATAAAGTTTTTTTGACAAATACTCAAACAATCAATTATCTTTGCATATTGATTAAATATAACCAACTTGCATAACTATTGTTTAATAACAATTTTAACAATTACAAAATTAGAATCAATCTTCAATTAATATGCTAAAGTAATTGAGTATTTAAGTATTCGAGTTTTTGTTAAAAAAAACTTTATTTGCAATTTTTAATCATTTCAAAAATTGCAATAATAAAATTTAAAATTTTGTTAATAAATTTAAATTTTGTTATGTTTTTTATATAAATACTAAATTTTTAAATTATATATAAATTTAAATTAATATAACTTTTTAAAAACAAAAGATATTTAAAATTTTTTTTAATAGTTTAATAGTTTAAGCAAAAAGTTATTAAATTATCAAAAAAATTTTAAATATCTTCTGTTTTTAAAAAGTAAATTAGTTTCTGAAAGATTATTTCAGAAAGTATTAATAAATATCTTCTGTTTTTAAAAAGTTATATTAATAGATTAGATTTATCTATACTAGATTTAGTACTTTGTACTAGATTTAGTACAGAAAACATAGTAAAATTTTTGCTAATTATAATAAGATATCTAAGCTTAAACTTAATATGCTATTTACTTGTATCTTGAGACTTCGATTCTGAGTTTTATAGGCTTATCAGAATTTCACATAAGACAAAATTATGTATCAATTATGAAGAATATGTTGTTAGACAATAAATTTCAATAATGATTATACCAAATAAATCAATCAAATTAAAAAAGTTAAAATGATAAGTAAGTGAGCATTAAATACCTGATTCATATATATGATATAATCAATAAATAATTGCAATATATAAAACAATTATTCAAACATGGTAAAACTGGTTGATATTAATAATATAAATTAAAAATTTTAAAATTTTTGATCATTAACTCCTTTGTAGTTATAAATTAGGTGTTTTTGGGCACCTGATACACTAGCTGAAAGAATAGCCAAGTATAGGTAGTGGTAGGTATCATGTATACATAGGAGTATAAAATTTTTTTATTTAAAAAAAAAAGGAATATTGAACTTCTTTTTTAACTTTGCACAATGAGATGAATTTTATCCAATATTAAAGTAGATGCCAAGGTTTCTGTTATGGGCTCTGTTGTGAATGAAAACATTGCTTGTTCACTTCTAGGTGAATTATGAAAGACTAAAAGACTAAAAGACTCTTAGCAATAGTTATACAAGTAGCACTAGGCAAAAATTGGTGGCTAATTTCCCTTAATTCACAACCAGAGGCACAATTTCAAGTTGCTGTGAGTTATATGAAGTTTGAAAGTTTTTCTACAAGTAATGAAGATGTTAATCAATATATAATTGATGACTTGAAGAAAGAAAACAGTAGTAAAACAGATTATTCAAGTAGTAACAATAGTGAGTGTGATCAAAATGAGAGTAAAGAGGCAATGAATATTAATAATATAAATAGCACATTATAGGCAAATAAAACTGTTTTTATTGACTCTTGTCAAATTTCTTGCTTTTATTTCAGTGCACCTGTTGTGTATATTGAAAATATTACCAATACAACACCCTGACAGCCTTTTGAGCATTTTATGTCTATTGATTATATAATGTCAGTAATAATTTCGTTTACAAATAAATACACATACAAGTGTGAAAGAGAGTGGTATAATCTAACTTGGATGGAATTTATAAGGTTTATTGGTCTTTTAACTACTATGACATATGTAAGGTGTGCTGATATTTGTA